CATTGAACATTACCGGTTGTCACCTCAGAGGACAACCTTAACACAGCTTTTGCTTTCAAAGAGGAAAGGTCTGACAGAATTGAAGAGATCAGATTCAGACTTCTGTCATTTTTTTTATGTTCTCTAGACCTTAGTATTGCTCCCTGTTTTCCCCAAATCCCCCAGTGATCAGGCACAGGAAGATGATCTTTATACAAGCATTTGTCAAAAATGCCGCAATGTTCTAAACAGGACATTCTCGACCCACCAGATTTCAACTACTCCTGAGGTATCATCATGTTAATATCCACAACAAAGCCGTTTATACAGCTGGTTTAAACAGTCTGAGCAAACAGGTGAGGCTTACCACAGACCTGTGTACATGAATTTAACAAAACAATAAAAGTTGATACCATGTTATAAACATTGTCAAAACTCAAGTACTACTTAACACAACAGAATTCAAAATCAGACTCCTTCAAACCATGTCTCATAGCTTCTCTCTTGTCATTTCTAATTAAAAAAAAATTGAACCTCCTTTCTCTTCACTATACTGTATGATCTCACAAAGCCCTGACAGCACTGACATCCAGCTTTGCTACGAAACAATTGGCTAATTCTCCTACTGCAAAGCGTTTCTCGCATTTTACAGCTGAGCTTCACTCAGATTTCTCAAAGTGAAGGCTAGACAATTCTTCCAACTGTTGCAGAATTACAACATTCTAAAATTTGTCATTACCAGATCAGTCAAGGTTTTAAGGGTAAACAGAGCTTTCTAAAAACAACTATGACTTGAATACTACTGATAAAGAAAAGAGCATAATAAAACAGTTTTCAGGAAATGTTTTTTTTTCTTCTTATGGAAACAATCAGCCCAGCCCAGTGTTGTGTATTTTCCGTGTGATTATTATAGATTTCATAACAGGAAATTATGCACTTCTGGGGAGAGTTTACAAAGAGGGTCTGTAAATCAAGCAGAATAAACACTCTTTAAAAGGAAGAGAAGCAATAATTCAGAATAAACATTAAGTGAGGTAATTTAACTAGCATGACTATTTTAAAATGGTGCAGCCATCATGGCTGGCAACACACTTAGCAAGTTGCTGTGGAAACTGAAAATCTTTGCTAATTTGCAAGGCTATGTCCAACTAAAATCAGAACATAGACTTCTCTACATACCACATGGGTAATGAGTGATGAGATTTAGATGAGAAATGTGCCTGGTTTTATTTTTTCCACATGCTCCTTTCATTTCTCTTTTACTGTTCTGTATTATTCATCCTTCTAATCTCGTCTGGGCAGCCCAGACTATTTCAAAAGCCTCATGTGTAACTACACAACCTTCAGAAGAAAATATATGTGACATTTGAAACACCACCGGTAATCTTTAGAACATGTAGGATAAATAAAGAAATAAATGTCGCACATAAAAATGGAACGTAGTTCACGTGATAGGGCGCTATATCAGGGTGACCCCACTTTGTACCCATGCGGCCTTGGATGCATCCCCTGGAGGACACTGGACAAGCTACTCTAGTACCCTCTATTGCTTACTTAATCCTGCCACAGACACTATAACATTATGATAAATAAGGATCTCCTTCAATACCTTTCCATTCATTATCAGAAAGTCATAACTTGCACAGCAGCCCCTGGAACCACAGGGTTCAACGTGGAATACACTCTGGAGACACTGGTTATCCCAGCCAGCATGTCTCTGGCAGCTGGCAGAAGTCCTCACACAACTGTCCCAGGACCCAGGAGCTGTGAGGGAACAGTGTTAGCCTCTTCTGTAACACATTTAACATTACAATGGAAAATCTGACTGTGAAATATGAATGGATGAGTAATGATGATCTGAAACAATTTGTGTGCAAATTGTTTTACCATCTTTCACCAAGTGATTGAATGACAATTTGGCCAGCTGTACAAGTTGTGTTTTTTCTTGCCGCGGTCTATACTGATTTCAGCACTCGTATTATCTCTAACTTCAATTACACAGCATTTGCTATACAGAATACAGTACCTGTTATATTTCTATTTCAACCCAAGAAATCTGCTGTTGACTGGGTTCAGATACAGTGCTCAGCATGGTTCAGATATAGTGTTCTGTACAGTGATGCACTCCAGACAAGGGTCAGGTTAACCCACAGAAAGCCTGACAATATCTGCCTACATTCATCCACAAAGAGAAAGGTATAATACAATATTGATTCTGTTAAGGTTAGAGTGGTCTCTAAATGAGCTTAGGATTTGCAGTTTTCTACTAATTACTGTGGTGGGAATGTGTTTCGTGTTCAAAGTCTGCTTCAGGGCCACATGCTCTGTCATAGAGTTGAGGGTGCCCACAGCTTTGCAAGAATCTCCAGCCCCTCTTACAGATTCCTGATCAGACTAACACAGATTTCCATACTTTGCGAGTGCGACATGATGTAAAGAAGTATGCTGTATATGCAGGTATATCATGGTATATAAGGAGCACAATGCAGAAACATCACTATCCTGGCTTCTGAATTGTCTTCAGGTTCCCCCAGTTGGGGACAATCTTCTGATACTCCTTTGAGCTCTGCAGATCAGATGCTCAAGGCTGGGCAGGGGACATGGCTATGAGATATGGCTCACATGTGTCACGGACGTCTAAAGGGACTAACCGTGGGGAGCAGGAGAGCGGATAAAGACCCATATGCGTAGCGGCGAGACGGGGAAAAAGGCCCGGGCTCATAGTGCAAAGAGTTCACGAATGCCGTATAGAAACCTATGCCCTCAGGGAGCGGACGTGGGGCGCCCTGGTGCTAGGCGGGTCTCAGGACATCCAAACCTCAATGCTGAGCGAGGACAGAGTGCAAGACCCGGAAATATATAGCCCAAGGGAAAGAGAGGGACAGGAAGGACAGCAGACCGGAAACTAGGGAAAGGACAGCGAAGGAGCGCCCTCTGGCTGCAGAGGGCGTGACAACATGTACAACAGTGGCAGCAGACTCTTAAGGTGGAGTCATGCATTTCTGTGGAACTGTAGATACTGGCTTTAGACATCATTGGTCATACTTACAGTAACTCATGTAAGGACCACTGCCCCACCACAGCCTTGCGTTCTCCCTCTAACAAGTACACTACCAGCCTTCCCATAAGTTCTGCTTTACTTTTTCGGGTTGCAGGTCTGTTCTGCAATTCGGGGTCACAGTCGGGGTCGGAGCTTATCCTACGAAGCACTGAGCGCAACCTTGATGGGACTCCATTCCATCAGAGGAATCAACACAGACACAAACACATCCACTCACACCAGGGCCAAATTTCCTAGACATCAATTAATAGCGTGTCCCTGGACTGTGGGTGAAAACCAGAGCACCTGGAGGAAACCCACACAAACACAAGAAGAACATACAAATGCCATGCAAATAGCACCCTATCAATCCTCAATAGCTTTCCATCAATTTAATACACTGTAGATATGGGCCTCGGTTATGTTTTCATTGTCTGCTAAAAATAGGATTTTCTCAATTTTTCTTGCATTGAAACCTGCTGATTTCGACATGATGAATGAAACACTCAAGAAGAGACAAAACTCTTTTGATGCACGTTTTTCCCTGTTGTTTCCCAGCACTCCATTTACTTGAGTCCATTTACTTTAGGAGGCAAGGAGGTCGTAAAGTTAAGGTAATTATAGCTGTTGATTTCTCCATTTGTGAAGAGGACCAAGAGCAGGAATGAGACTTGCTTTCTAAAATGACACATTTGACCAACTTTCATAGGATGATGCCAGCTGGAAGTACTGATTTTGGTACCTGGAATGTTGAAACCTGAGATAGATTATTTATATTCAAAATCAACATAAGGTGGCTGTGTCACTTTACATTTTGACATAGCCTTTTTTAAAAGACTCTATTTAGCACCTCTCAAATATGTTGGAATTGGACATTTTCATCGGATGCACTCCTCTAATGGATAAATACTTAACAAACGTTTAGATCTGATTTATAAAAGCGCACAGTACACGAAAATGATTATTGTGATTAAAAAAGTTTTGTCACCCAGTGTTCTGACAAATTCACACAACAGGCATGTTTTAAAAAGCTGCACTTGAAAGTAATCCTGAGTTCACATTACATCTGGGCAGCATCTGTGTATGAAAATATCAGAAAATGTAAACTGAGAGTGCCAAACGGGTAAAAAATCAGCAAAACAGATTCATTAACATTTCGTCAAACTGCTTACTCTACTCATGCGATTGTATTGGATAAAATAAGGTTATTCCTTGCTATACATACAGTACAGTAACCTCTTTGCAGACAAGACTATGAAACCAAGAACCAGTGTCTTTTCAAAACAACAGATTTCATTTATTGCGTTGAGCAACTATACCAAGTACTGATGGCATTCAGATATTCAACATATCTAAATATTTTTTACAATGTACACTACTATCCATCCATTTTCTAAACCTCTTTATTCAATACAAGGTCATGGGAGAGCCAGAGTCTATCCTAACAAGCAACAGGCACAAGGAAGGATACACCCTGGACAGGACTCCAGTCCATGACAGGGCAACATACCCCTATGCACCAGCAAAATGTTCATTTCATGAAACATGAAATCAAACTGTTCTTCGACTGCAAAAGCAAAATACGACTGATTAAAGCCAAGAACACATCCTGGACAAGAAGCAGCATGATTTCCAACTGCATCAATATTCAGTTTAAGCATTAAGAATTAAGAACACAGTCATGAAAAAAATGGCACTCACATAAAACTTCTAAACAGCACCACATTGTTTTCAGTCATGTGATCCAGAAACAATGCTAGTAAGCACAATAAATAACGGTGCACATGTTTATTCAGCTGCTGAAACTCTAAGAATAGCCATTAACTAACCATTAATAAGTCTTACCGCTTACTTCAGGGAATCACCACAACCTTAGCAACAAGAAGTGCAGGTTGTTCTTTATAGAATTCAACATACAGATCTCCCCTTCCGCTATTTCCTGTGACTATCCAACTAGCTGGGAATACCTCTTCGTACTTACCACATAGTAAAACTGCGTGTCCATAAATACAAAATCTTCAGGCTGCATCCATTGGCTCTACAAATTTCTAATTTCAGACGTTTGTTAAGTTCCTGTGACTTCGAACAGGAAAACACTGCGAGAGTCAAGGAGCCCCAGATATCTCCTTGTGTTTTCCCTCCGCTGGCAGGCTGTGGTGGTGGTGGTGGTGATGGCTTCTGCACTCCAGCATCTGGGAGAAGAACATTGTACCAGCAGACAGGCTTCCTGTGTAGCGAGCCACAGATATCTGAACGACTTGGCGACCCTCAGCTCCCTGCCCTGTCAGAGACCGGAAATGTGCTGCTGGCAGCAGAACACAGACAAACACTTGCCCCAGGAAAGCATGACATATTAAAACTGCAGGGTTAATGAGGAAAGACAGGATACCAGTCTCCATAATAACCAGAAACAGGAATGTATATTTATCATATGGAACAATTGACTATATACTGCAACAGCCTCAGGCCTCAATAATGAAAGATATGGCAATCAAAAGAAGGGTATCTATAGGAAAGCAAAACACAGAAAGCAGTTAGTTTACACTGGCTCTGCAGAAAACAGTAGCACGGACCTAACTTAACATACCTTACTGCTCAGCACCTATAGAACTGGCTACACTGCACATCTTAGGAGGAATAGCAGAAGGCAACCAAGTCCAAGAAAAGATGGTCGATACTGTAGATATAGTGACACCTTTTTCCACCCTGGCTATACTCCATCTTCCCAACAAACCACGTAATTGCAATTTCAGCTTACAAATTAGGTTGCATAATATGCCAACGTTGAGATCAAATGCACAAGAGGGCATGGCTAAGGAATTATATTAATTAATAACACGTATAAAGTGTCTTAATCTAAATGCTATGCTACAATAGTGGTGGTATCTAATTTCTGCTGGAATCCCTAAATCAGCAAAAAAAAAAACATTGTGAATTTATAAAACGTCACTCTTCAAAAAAGGCTCGAGATATAATGAGCAAAAGACACATCATTTCTCAGTATTTACAGTACATGGTCAGTTATTAGTTCAGAGAGAAAAAATAGTTTTCACTCCAAAAGTCAATGTTTCTACAGCCTGTTTTCTTCGAATAGTAAGGTTCTCGGGGGGAGAGGTTCCACTGCCGGGCATATGATTTTGAATTTCACGAACTCTGTCAACAGACGCGGAAAATTTAATTTGCATATTGACGAGAAAACCAGTATCTAAAATGTGCCAAAACGACACATTTTATAGAATTCTTGCGCTTAAGGCAATGATTACGTAATTATCGCCGTTGTAATAAATGGAGATTACCTTTGCAGTGTTGTTTGACATTCTTGAAACATCTAGATTAAGGTAAAAGCATTTTAGTGCTCGCAAAAATATTGTAACGCCCTCGCCTGGTGGTGAGGAGGAAGCGCCCCTAGGCGCTCGTAGTACCGCTGGGCATGCTGGGAGTGGTAGCCGGGAAGAGTCTGAGGGTCAGCACGATGACCAGCGGCTGACCAGCGGCTGACCCTACCTGTGTAAATAATGTCCTAGTGATTCTAGTGCCCTGTGTAGTCCTGTAAAAGTGTAGTGTGTTGTTAGGTATTTACCACCCTAACTTTTACGTGTTCCGTCAGTCTCCTCATGTGTGTGTGTAGGTTTTGTGTGGTTGTAAACGAATAAAACTAATGTTTGGTTGTTAATCGCGTCTCCACTCGTCCTTGTTCTGTAAAGAACCTGCAAACGCTACAATATGATGTAAAAGCTGATTTGGAATACTGTAGTGTTCTGTCTCTAGGAGCGTAACCGTTAATAAAAGGGAGAGGTGCGCCCTTTGAAACAATAGTGCAACCAAATGTAACTAAATATTACGTGCAGGGCCGGCCCTACTGTAGCTTTTTCCGGGACCTTGGAAATGGGCCTTTCCAGCTTATGATTTGCACATGTACTACTATTATCGGCTTTCATCACAACTTTATTTAACAACTTAGAACATAACATGAATGATATAGCTAGAAAACGTTAATCAACCAGCTTTGAAAAACACATAATAAGTAACAAGAACAGGAGGCAAACATTCGACAAAGATGAAGAATTTTTAACATTGCACGTAGTAAAAGGAGCATGAATAACAAAAAAGTATAGTATAGTGATAAACAGGATCTCTATAACTCCCAAATTTGAGAAAACCAAAACTTACAAATCACTGCACAGAAATCTTTGTAGAAATTAATTGAAAAAATAAATCTGAAAATAAGTAAGAAAAAAACAAGTGCAGGACAAGTGGAGATGGAATGCTTGCTGCTAGACCTTTGCACTGAAGAAAAGTGCAATTACTCTGGAGTACCAGCAGCCTTTGACCCTTGAACACCAGGTAAGAAGAAAGGATTAATACAGGAATGGGACCGGCATCATCTGGAAGGGCCTGACAACATTTACGCCTGTGCAAAATATTTCCTTAGTGTTGCATAAATGCATCACAGGGTTTTTCTTTTTTGAAAATGGCCTAACAATACGCTCACTGAAAGTGACTTAATCAAAAATGTTTTATTTCTGCCATACTGTCCAGTTCATTGGCCTACACCATAAAAACCTTCAGCTTTGTGTTGTGGAGAACCATTTCCCCTTTTCTGTTTTCTGCCACAAGAGGGCAACAGCTGTTCTTTTTTGTTAACAAATGGTTCTGTTCTATACTGTACCAATTTCAGAGTAGCTGCTTGTACTTCTCGCATTTCGTGAAGAGAGGTAGCAGGTTAAAGTCAATTTAAGTTGAAAAGTGTTTTCCGATATTCAAGGGTATTTTCAAAGGTTCAAAGTGGCTGAACTGAGGGAGCTGCAAGGTCTTCGCTATCAAGATATCATTTATCACAAGTTTTGTATTGCAAAAGCTGTATCTTCTGGATAGACTTTAATTAGCTATGGGCCTCACTTTTTCCTTTCCTGTGAGATTCACCTTTATGCTCCAGTTTTGTCCAGTTCTTGTCCAATGTTTATGTATTAAGAAAACTTCCAAAAACACTTTTGGACACAAACCTTTAGATAAATATGAAAAATAAAACCAATAAAGAAATTAAAGCCAGAAGAAATCATATAATACTTTTGAAATAAGCAGTGAACTTCTGCCTCATCCTTGCATGTTCTGTAGTGCATTATTGTATCTTACCAACCTGACAAAAGTTCATCAACACAAACTTCAAGCATATAAGAGATTAGATTTCATATTCTAATATCGTTCTAAAGATGGAAAAAAAAAACACTACTGACCAGGTGTTAAGCAATAAAAATAATTTATTTAAATGATATTTCATCACATAGACAAGAAGTAGCTGTTTACAGAATCACAGCTGCATTTAATACTGGTGGAATAATTTGAATTATTTTCCTATAAGAAAAAAAAATCCCACTTTCTGATGTTGAGATTTAGGACACATGAAACCCGTGGGAGTATTTTTAAAGCTTCGTTTTTGTCATCCCTCAAACTTAATGGAAACGGTAGTGCACCTTTCTATTAGCGCTCATGTTTTCAGAGGTCTCCTGCTGTAGGATCCTCTGGCTTTTTACTATTAACCTCATCAGTAGAATGGATTACTCCTTCCAATGCTCACTGTGACACGGGGAATAAATTAGTGCTTCCGGGGTCTGACTATGGAGTCATTTCTAACTGGAACCAGTTTTCACCGGGAATAAAGGAAAGCTTTAAAAGCTGTGAGTCCTGTGAGTAGTACAATGGAAAGCAAAAGGAAGAAGGGTGACACACCTGAAAGGCAAAATAAGGCCTGTAGCTCTGTCACAAAACAAAAATATCAAGTAGGAGACAGTCTCCACCAGAGTCATTGAAGTCTGTTTAAAGCTAGGATACACTGGCTCCGATGCAGTCTTCGCATCTTACAAGAAGGATCTGGAGCTGGCACATCAACTGGGACCTGTTGACAGAATTATACAGTATCTTCTTCCACAGCTGCCAACTGCTGGCAAAAAAAGAACGATAGGCAGAGCACAGCCGTCAAAGTTCAATTTCGGAACCATTCCAGTTGTGCAAGGGAACCAATCTGTTAAGATTGAGCTGCTGTAAAAAGAGGTTCCTCTGACTCGAGGGAACCTCAGCTATTTTAATACTGACATGATGGCTCATGGTGGCATGCTCCAACTTTTCGAACTTCGCAAGTCCACTCTGGGTCATTTTCCAAAACCGATTTTTTTCAAAGAAATTGCTTTTCCATACTTTGGTCACCTGTTGCTAGATTGTTACCGTTTCAGATTTCTGGAATTCTACCTTTGAGCAACACAAAATGTCAAACTATCCGGCAATCACTTATTATGAACGTCAGGCAATTTGTCCTTTTCAGAGGAAGGGAACAATGGGGTTCCCTGTGTTACACATACTGTACCAACAGAAGCTTCAGCTTTCTGTATGTGAAGATGAAAGGGCCAGACTTGAAGACCTCAAACATAAAAGGCTCAAACAACTTCATGAGCTAAGAAAGTGAAGGGAGTGTGTCTCCTTTAAAGACCATGTGGATACCTCAGGAATGGTACTTCAGTATCTTACCTGAAAGGACCGGCAATGCTAAACTCATGTGGAACTTGTGTAGCTAAACCTGATAAATTTCATCAAAGAAAAGTGCTGTGAACCACAGACAGGTATCTTAAAGTGTAGCACCACAGAGTGAATGTGTGTTGTGATTCAACTTGGGGGAAACTACAGAAATGCCATGTAAAATGATTATGGTTAAATTTCCCATCATCAAGAGGCAGAAGTTCCACATTTTAAGAAATCTAGCCATTCTGAAATTCATAATCCTTGGAGCTCTTTTTTTTTTACTCTGCATCTAAGCTTCTCTTTCCTCTGTCAGTAGGAATTTCCTTTCACAAGGGATTAAAACACAGATGGAGCACACTGAAGAATAGGTACAATCAGAATAATAGTAAACAGAATTTAAAAAAATCACGGTATACTGCTAAGGAAGTGCAATACCAAGGCATTTAAAAAACACAGAGGCACTAATGCCTGAGTTCAAGGCAAACAAACACTTTTTTTTTGTTTCATTCGCTAAATATTTAAAAACAAGTGTCACCTCAGTGTTTCCGTCGCTGGATACCTGAAAGACTTGTCGTTGTGTTTAAAATCCAGCATCGTCTGCTGTGACAAAGTCGAGAGAGATCACAAGTCAAAGATTCTTTTCGGTGTTGGTCAAAGTCTTCAAGATGGTGTCCAGACCTAATACTGTAGCACCAGGAGTTTCTGCTGCAGTCTAGAAACCCAGTGAATGCCATCGAGCTTATAGCTGTTCTCGTGAAAGGTGTGCGGAAATGACCCGATTATTCTGTTTGGAGTCCCCTTTGTCCACTGCTACTGTGCTGTACCTACTTTAAAGGAAAGATTTAATGGAAGTTCATTCATTACTGTTCCTTGGATTTACATTTCGACAAAGAACCCTCTGCCTGAGGGATTGCTTTTGTTCTCATACATGTTTCCAGACGTAGGATCCTGGTTTCAGCATGAAAGGGAACTGAAGACTTAAGCTCTTAAGGGTTAGTGATGGTGAAGCCAAACATTTTGCAATTTGAAGACAAATGTTACAGTAAAAAAAAGGAACTGTTCAGTAGTTGTTCCCCCTTTCGAACAGTCGTACTTGTCTCTCAAGGTAAGAGGAGATCCACAGAGGCTCAGTGCACACCTGGAAATAGAAAGTACTGGGCCAGTCTGTGACTTGCGTTTCGGAAAAAGACCAGAGGAGGGGCTGTAGAAAGGGATCCGTCGCCATGGCCACCTCGCAATCAAAAGGACAGGTTTAACCTTTCTCCCTGAATTTTTGCTCACTTCTGAAAAAGTCCGCCATGTCAAAAAAAAAACCAAAATGAAAGGGTCAAACAAAAGTGTGCAAAAACACATTCATCCCTTGTATACGGTTTGCAAATAAAAAAAAAGGACAAGCTTGACAACACGCTACAATCTGGCTTTGATGTGTGCACATTACACTTTGGCCAACACTAGGTTCAAATAGTACTGAGAAATTAGTACACAGGCATATCTATAACTTAATGACCCTTTGATTTTGTGGGATATTTTCTATAAGTTTATATATATATGTATGTTGATATAGGCAGTGTGGCATTCCATTCTAACCATCTGAGCTGTTTGCATTGCCATTTGTAATCATTTTCTTTGATCCCAAGATAGTGTGACTTCACTATCATAAGATACACTATTTAAGCAAGCCTTGTCACACTTTGATATAAAAGCTTCTCTTTTACTAAACAAAGATCTTTAAAGATATATATATACATTTCTATATTTACAAGATAAATCAAATAAAAATTCAACATTAACTGTAATTTTAATAAAAATGCTTTGTATAATGAACCATGCATTTGTTGAAAGTGCCTTTTTTCAAATGTGTGGGGCGTTAGGTCCTATTTGCCGAGTTTGAGTTGTCTACGTATTATTATTCAGGTGGGTGACACACCTGAAGAAGGCTCCACGGCCGAAACGTTGTGTTCTCTTTCTTCTTTTTTTCAGCATGGAATAAACCTATTACGTATTATTATGTTGAGTTTCACTCTTCAATAGCATTCATCAACCGCTTTCTTTGTTTTGCTTTTCCAAATTGATCTCAATATCCTGCATGTGTTAGATCTTTCCAAGGTGGATTTTAAAAAATCACTCTTCCAATGAAATGTTGGTAGAGAAACACGAATTTACTCTTTTCTCGTCTGCCATCAAACGATATTTCCTTGATGTCCTTGATGGTCCTAGTAATGCACTATGCTTATTTGCGGTAAGGGAAGGGGAGTCTGGCTGAGAATAATGAAACTGTTCCACTAATTCAAGGGAATCGCACACATGGAGTCAGACTGCCGTACTCAGAGTCATGCACACAAATATGTAATAGTGCAGGTCTCTAGCCTCTCAGAGCAAGAAGGGAGCAGATTAAAAACAGGATTTCAACCTGTGTTGAGCCAATATGCCTCGTTTGCTGGCACCATCCAAAGTGTAGCAGAAGAGAAGATGTGCCGCAGGGCTCCTGTACATCACATTCTTGCTCTGTGTAACCGGCCTGGGAGCTATCAGTGGTCTGGAAGGGGCTTGGCGTTGCTGGTCTGTTCGGCTTCAGACTGAGAGAACTCGGTGACCCGCCGGGCCAGAGGGTTGGTGCTTTTCAGGAGCTCCATGGCAGAAACGCGGGCGCTGGCACTGGGCTTGTTGCTTTTCTTCTGGAGCAGGGCCATGAAGTTCTCATTCCTGGAGCTGGATCTCGGGGTGCTGCTGATGCTGCTCAGAGACAGACTCTTGTACTCGCTCATGGGGACGGTGTTCTTGACCGGAGACACCAAACTCTGCCTGCTGCCAAAGGAATCCGCAGGCTCCCTTCTGCCCAGGACTTTTCTTTTTGACCTGCCGGGAGGGAAGGAGAAGAGAGCATTTGGGCAAACGTGCAGAAACGTGCTGTCTCCAAGAGCATCTAACTTGGCTTACCAGTAAAACCACCTAACCAGCAAATTGAGTTGAGGACTAAGCTGACTTTGCTCTACAACCTGATATTGCTCACAAAGTGCCCTTATGTGAGGATTCATCCTGACTGGAGGACTGATCATGGACAACATTATAAGCTCAAACAAGCCAGGCAGGTAACAGACATCACTGATGCACAGTGTGCAACATTACATTGGTGAGCTCAATCTCACCCAACCCTGCACAGCAGTCCCAGTGGGCTGGTAACATATCCCTGATTCAAACTGGGAATGCCTGGAGTGGAGGACCCAACCTGCACTCCAAGTGGCTGAACCACTCAGAATATCCTCAGCTACATTCTAGAAAGACATGCAACTTGTCAACTTGTCATATGGACAGGGATCGGTATCACTCAAAGCCATAGTTAACTTTTCAGTAGGATTCTGCTTTAATTTGGTGAAAAGTACAATATATGAACAAAAACAGCTTTTTTCTGACAACCAAAAACTGCTAAAAAAATCAATTTCAGAAAAACTCTTCATCTGCTTCTGGATTATATATATATATTTTGCAGAAACTTTGGTGAAGCCAGATAATCTTAGGAGCTTGGGTACATTTGCTAATGCAATTCATAGTGTAAACAGGACACAAGCTGGAACAAGAGAGAGGAAGACACCACAAAGATGAAGCTATGCTTAAATAAGAAGACAAAGTGAATGGAACATGAGGACTGGACCAGAACATGTATAGGTATCAATGCAGTCCAGTTCAGGCAGCAGTGATTGTGCAAAACTGTCGTCTTCATCATCAGTTGCTAATATCCATGGAATCTACAATGCAAAGCTTTTTTTCTCCATGCTAGTGACATATATATCTTACATATAAGAACTATATAATTTTATATATAATATGTAGATAATCTCTGGTTGGTCTTTAATCTCTAAATATATGCTATGGCATTCGTTTAAAAAATGACTGAGACTACAAAAAAATGAGACTACAAAACTAGAAGAAATGGGCGATCTTAAAAAATATATTTTTTTCCCTTTAAAGATGTAGAACTACACTACTCAAAGCTGGCCAAATTTGGTCCCAGCACTCCTCCTGTCTGAAAACAGCAGTAAATGTGCCTGGAAAGGTTGACAGAGGGACACCAAGAGGACTATCATGTACCGCCTCCATCCAACAGCACTATTCTGGAGCCAGATATAGACTTAAGAAAAAGAATGAATATTTAAAGCATGCCATCACTTTGGCAGAGAGGTTGTTTTGCTGAAAGCTACACAAAGAAGCAGCAAATCTTAATTGAATTGGTGCCAAGGCACATGTTCGGTCATAGTGTTCCTAGAGAAAGCCCACCACCATGCACGGTAAATTTAGCAGGCACTGTCCTTTTATAATGTGCTACTCCCCCTGGACTGTAACAAACTAAGCCTGTTGTTTTCATCTCATTAAAGTATTTACATGCTATACTTTACGGTCACACTTTTATGTTATCCTTCAGTTTACATTTGCACAATTCTGCCTTCACTTACCAACCTGGCTGAATAGGTAACCTCATCTTAAACTAAAGGATGTATAAATACATTTTTCTACTGAAAGGAACTTTAGTGCAAAGGAATTTCAGTGAACACAGTTTTTGTTTTAAAAATCATGTTGCAAGCTTAAGGGAAGGCAGAGTACTGTTATCGAGGCACTCATTGTTGGACGTCAGCTGTTCTTATTCATGAAAAGCTGTGGAATGCCTATGCAAAGACAGGGCTGTACTGATAGTTATTTGTAATTGTTACTGACTCCAGCAATGGCGGAGAATGGGCCAGCACCTGTGAATGATAGTGAAGAGGTCCTCAGTGGTGTGGGGGGTGGATGTCTGGATGAACACATCGTCATCTTCTTCTGAGATCCGCAGGGCGGTCTTCTCGCTTCCTGTGCTACTTTCCTCAACACTCTCATTGAGGGCAGTATCTGTCAATCAAATAGAAAAATAATGGGTCCCTTTCTGGAAAATGTTAGGTTATCAGACTGCTCCACTGTAAATGTAAATGCCGTTGTCTACAATATGTCCTCATTTCCTTTGTTTGCTTTAGAAATTCTACTTTCCTTGTGCGCTTCTTGTACCTTCTTGAAAGCGGCCTGGACCTGATATGTAGGAAACCTTTCTGTCTTCATAAACCACTCAAGACATCCACATGGATATTCTGTTGCTTGCCTCTCGGCTTCTCAAATCTGCTCTGCTCGGGATGAGGCCTGTACACCAATAAAGACACTGCCTAGCCTGCCAGTACAGCTCACACGGACTGAGGCAGAGGCTGCTGGGAGATCCTTGGGTTTTTAGACAACACTAAATGCAGACATGGTTACTGTAGCCACCGTTCAAGAGTAGAAAGTCTCTAGGTCAGTGTAGGAGGAAAGTATCAGGTTAAATGCAATAGCAAGAGAAGGCTGTGTCGCCCATAGTAGGTAGGTGAGCTTGGGGGAGATATAGAAGACCATAGTCAGATGAATGAAGGCTGGATGGTATGGAGTAGACAGATAAGTCAGATAGGTACTGAGGTGCCAAGCCTTCTTAGGCCTTATAGATGAGCATGAGAATTTAGAAGTTAACACAAAATCTGAAGCCAGTGCAAGAACTCCAAGACAGGCATAATGTGGTCTCATTCACTGGCTGGAAAATTGTGAACATATCATTGTGGTTTTAGATACCCCAGAGAGTGGCAAGTTTCAGTAATCAATTCTAGAAAAGACAAATGTGTCAACATCTAAAAAAATGAAAAAGGAAGAGAAAAAATGGAAAAATAATAGCAGGTTTATAATTTTAAATGTAGTGTCTAATGTATTGCCTTCATTCCACAAACTGTTTCAACGCTCCCACTTAAGAGTGTTGAAAGATCTATAACTAACTCCCTGGAGGGAAAAATGACAGGAAAATAAAATAAACTAAATGCCATTACACAAAACTAAATGCACCTTTTCTAAAACTTCCAGAGGCAACAGGATCAAACATGAGAATTATTCAAAAGCTTGCAAAAAGACGCACACTTCTCGTGTCTCTTTTAGACGACCTGTCAAGGTGCTTACCTGTTGGAGTAGCAGCAGAGGGCGCCATTTCTCCAGGATCCTGCTTGCTGTCATTTCCACTGGCTGCAACAGTTTTGATGTGGTTTTCACTCTCACCACAGAGATCATTGGGGAATACAGCTCCAGAGGGGCGGCAGCTGTCCAGAGTGATAACAGGCCTGTCTGTGGTCCCATTGGCTTGAAATGAACTGGCTGGCAAAAGGAGCACGTTAGGTTTCTTGGGGACTGGTGGAGGTATCTTGTTTTTTTTCTTTTCCATCTCAGTCAGGCTGGAAACAATTATTCGGTTGGGGAGGGTTTTGCTCTTGTCCTCCCTATCTGGAAGAGAATGCAGGTTGACAAAGTCCATTCCTTGCTTCATGCTGGGAATTGGCAGCTCGGGATACTCCTGAGGGGAGCTAGGACTAATGGGACATTGAGGCTTCTTGGTTTTGGGTTTTCTGACCACCATGTAGATATTCTCGACAGGTGTAAGTTTGTCTTTTGGAGAGGCAGGTGGAGATTCAGACGCTAGAGGAGACGAGGATGGAGATTTAAAGAGCAGGTTTGGGGGCCTTTTGGGCAGTGGTGGTTTCATGGCAACTGGTGGCTTAACTTTTGGCTGCGGGGTGATGGAGTGCTCCTTGCTTTCTTCCTCTTCTATGATGTCAGAAGAACCATCTGCATTGTCATCTGGCTCCGAGCGGCTGACTGACCGCAGCCGCACAGATCTCAGGTCTAACTGAGTCACCACGGGCATCACCACTTGGCTGGGGCTTAACTTCTGACCGCACTTGTTAGACGTGGATGAATCAGAATGACGGCGACTGGCTTTGGTCTTCCCTTTGAGAGAAGATAAATCCAAGTGAGTTGTGACAGGCAGCTCAAAGGACAACCTGCAACGAGAACTCTTCTCTCTGGGAGAAGTGGCCGGGAGAGAGGACTTCCTCTCTGGGATTTTTGGCCTCATCTTACAGCCCTGCGGTGAAGGCCCAGTGATCAGAGAAGTGGGAATGGTTGGGGTAGGAGTTTCGGACTGGCTGGAGTACCCACTGGAGGGGGACATCAACCCCGGGGGCTTTAGGGGTGAGATTTTGGATTCCGCTTCTGTTGAGAGCTGGGAAGGTGACGTAGCGCGGGAGGTGGAGGGGGACTCGAGAGATTCCGAGCTCTCACGCACTTTCATGCACTCGATGACAGTCGTCCCTGTGGCAGTACTGGAGCTGGACAAGGACCTGTAGGGGTCGTTGGATTTCCACTCGCTGATTTGCCAGTGGCTCGGAAAGGTCATATCAATCTCTTTCCCCAACAATGGGGCGTCTGCTACAGTTGCAGCCTGCAGGTCTCTTTCAATTCGTAATGCCTTGGAGTCGATGAAATCGGGGGCTACCTCAAAGATGTTCTGCAAGTTATCTTTATCCCTGGGAAGGAAGAGACTCTTGGGCCTCTCTTCTTTGGTCAAGGAGGTGATATCGCTTTTCCTCCCTGCTTTATTCTTCATCAAGGACACACTCCGGACAGGGGGGGTGGGCTTTTTCTTTGGCTTCTTCAGTGAGATGCTCCTGGACCTCTGCCTGGGTCGGCCATGAGGATCTGCCACTACGGAAGCATTGTCAGTGCTGGCACTGTCCTCTGAGCTGGCGCTGGGGTAATTCATGGCATAGTTCTCGTTTTCCCTCCGGTGATCACAGCAGATGTTATCTGTGGAGCAGAAGGAGCTGGAATCTGTCGGGGTAGATAGGGATCTTTCACGGAACTTAAATGCATGAACCCGGGCCGTTCGCTTGTCTTGCCCTGGGCTCGTAGGACCTCCTTCTGTGTCGTTTCTCTTGGCCACAGTCTGTGCTCTGGCAGATGGCTCCATGGATATGGATGTAAAAGAACTGGAATGTGACCCTGAACTCATTGAAAGACCTGAGCTACCCTGCAAGGGACATGTGAGTGCGCCCTCATGTTGGGAGGGCTGCTTGGCAACAGGGCTCGCTGCCAGCACATAGCTGAAAGAATTATTCCAGGAAGGAGAAAACGTAGAACCCTTTGGTCCATTCCAGGAAGGACTAGCGCACATCATGGTAGAGTTCTCCATCATGCTGGAATAACTCCCTGGCGTCTGTGAAAGAATTTGGTCCAAATCGCTGTACGTCTTTCTAAGAGGCATCAAGTGGCCGGCAGTTTCTGAAGAAGGTGACAGCTGCCTGGCTTGAGCAGTTTCCGGAGTAGAAGCACCTTGGGTTAGGTCAGCGCTGAAGGTCTGCTCCACAGCAGCATGGCCGTCACCTGAAGGATACAAAGAAACCACAATTACCCTGGTGCTTCTGCTCATTAAATATAGTTGAACTCATCTCCAGCTTTTTTGCTTATATTACATTGATTTTCCTGAAGAACTAATGAAATCTGTCACATTTGAATATTTTTATTTCAGGTGGAGATTTTTCTCATAAAAACAAACATCTAAAGAAATTACAGAGTCTGTGACGCACTAAAATCAAATTATTACTTTGACTTCACTTTTTCTTTTATTACTTTCTGTTCTATACTATCCATCCATTCAATTTGTAACTGTTTTATCTAATACACAGTCACAGGGAAGCCAGAAACTACCCTATTAAGCTGTGTTACAAAATACTAAAGTATTTTTTATAAAGAGAGAGTGAGTCCTAAATAGATAACTGCTGATATAAGAATGTTGACCTTGTACACAAATTCTAAAATGTGTTGAAAAAACCAAGAGTCCAAATTCTGTAGTTTATACAGAGATATACTGTAATGCGTTCGCAATCCATACAATTGAACAATTTCTGCCCCTTTCACTCAAAGGTAAACAAAAAAAGAGCTGAGGCAAGAGGTTTAACTAGCAGAATTTCCTCAGACAACTCTTCAAAATATGCTCTTCTCTAAACTTCCCAGACATTACTAAACTTACTGCTGCATACTCAGTTTTCAAAATTCTCTAGATCTCATATCAAGGGTGGGAGGGATTCTCCTTCACCATTCAAAACAGGTGACATTCTCCAAAATTAAAGCACGAGATCAAACCAGAATTATTTCCTCTGTTCATCCCATGGTAAGTGTATTAGACTGATACGTGCTGACAGAAACATATATGTATACGTTCTATACAGCAGAGTTTTACAGATGTCACTGCTGCTTGAAGAATGAAGGATGAAGATCTCCTAATATGGAAATTTGCCATGCCTCACCACAATAGGTGTTTGAGTATGATACAGCACCCTTCAAAGGTAGTGATACACTGAAGTCTACACTGATAAGTACAAGTCCAAAGTGCTTCATTTTTATTAAAGACAGCACAGTACTATTCCCTTGGATAATTTGAAAAAAGTGTTAAAAAAATCTTTATTTTGAAGGAGTAACGTATTGGGACAATTGGATGAATTGGCTGACCGGTGTCTCTTGTTGGATGGGTGTTTTTGTTCTTGGGTAATTAGATTCATGAAAGAGCTGTGAAAAATCTAACTACCAGTCTAAAATTGACTTCAATGTATGGAGTCTGTTGCCAAAAATCAAATTGGTATATCAAAATCAATACTTTGGAAGACTGAATAATAAACTACAGGTATAATTACTTATCAGCAAAGACCAAGGAGTACATCTGCAGTTGAAAATTCATCTGACCTGTTAAGGAAAACCCTAAAACAAAAGTCAGTGAACTCGCCAGTAACTTCCATAGTGAAGAGGTGAAGGTTTTAAAATCTAAATTTAAAAAAAGATTGAGATAGCAGAATTACACAGGTTATAATTTATCATCATCAACAACATAAAAGCCTGGTTATATTTCTCTTGGTGGTGCAAACATGAGCCAGAAGACTTTTGTATCAATGTTTTATGGACAGATGAGATGAGATAAACCCTCAAGCAAGTGATGGAAAGACTGCAGTAGGAGAAAGGGGACTGAAATACTCTGAACAACACCTCCTCATGATGGAAATAACATCATGACCTGGGCATGCACAATGGCCCTGTAACTGACTCACTTTTCTGTTTTGGTGGTGGAACTAATAGCGGCAGCACATTTGTTGAAACACGGTGCTTATGTGGAAGAAAAGCAACTTTTCACCATGGAGCATAACATTGACACACAACATACAGCCAAGAAGAACAAGACCCAAGAAGTCAGAACATCCCCCAAAATGAAAGAGAACTCCAAGAAAAATATTTCTGATTCCACAGACAGACAGTGAACTCAGTGGGTCACAGACTTCAAGAAGTTTCAAAAGTATACACAACAAAATACTGACTTGAAATGCACTTAAATTGAATATGTCCCAATTATGGTCACATTGTCAGTTGTGGGTTGTGTTCGAACATGACTTTGCTGTCTATATACTATTATGAATGGCATGTATACCTGTACAAAGGTGAGGTAATGAACAAAAACATATATTTTGTACACATCAAAGAATGACAAAGGAATCTCTAACTGAAAACTAAGGAAAGAGGGATGTGAAAACAGAAACATTTCAATATCCTAAATAGACTTTATCTGCAGGGTCAGTGCCTATGGATTTAAGGAGTTACCATGTGCCCTGTGGTGTCACCTTGGTGCTGTAGCAAGAGGTCAGGGGCTCCAGTTATAGTTCTTCTTCTCCTTAGGATATTCTTTGGGTTGATGGCAGTCTCAGTGTTAAAAAGGGACTGGAGCACACTGGCGTGCTTATCAAAGCTCTGTCCTGAATTAAGACAGAAATAGTTCTCAATGTGAGAGCTAAAGCCCTGAAATGGTAAACATTCCCATGAAATCTGTGGATTGGGGTGAGTTGTGGTGCAGTTTGAAAACAAGTGAGAAAAAGAATGAGAAGCAGAACAACTTAAGGATTAGACCTACACTGCATATATACACACCAGGTAGTGTGCCTTCACTTCAGGCAATTGCTATATTTGTTTTCATTGTGTTCATTCACTATTTTCCAGGTTTGTTCCCAAACCTTGTTCCTAGTCCAAGAAGACGTTCTGGTTTTTACTCCAGCCGAGACTGAATACAATTCAATAAAATTAATTGAATTCAATTTTCCATCTGGAGCATATTTGTTTTGGCTCTTTAAAGGTCAAATGTGATTTATATCACCCCTGCCCATTTGCTTAGGGCCAAAATGAGTTGCAGAACTACCCTCATTCAGGTGTGTCACCTGAAATGTATCCATGTAGTAGAACAAACGCTGTATGTTCACCATTAATTGATCAACTAGCAAGACCTCATTAATCAGAAATACCAGCCAGCAAGTTGAGGAGAAGCTGTGTAAAGATCTGTTTGCTGAAGTTGTTGGGTATATTTGACACTCAGTAGTTAAAAAATGCCTGAAGAAGCAAGCAGATCTATTGTCATATACTGTATGTCCCGGTACATTATTAGCACTATGTTTTACATCCTCTTTATACTTGCAAATTATATTTAGTAATAAATGTTGCTAGTAAGAAATGTAGTTTGAAAAGCCTGTAATTGCTAGAGATTTATTTAATTCCATAGGAGTAAGTACTTTGTTATTATTATTAATAATAATTATAACAATACATCCTCATATTTACACAGCACTTTGCTTTCCATTTTGAAGCACTTTATATAGTGGTGGAGAACTGCTTCATCCACCTCTGAAGTACAGCCTCCACCTGGTTTAATGAGGAGTATGAGTGATAAATTACTTCATCAGCTGAATTAAGGAAGAACATTAGGAAGGCTAGGCTTTACAAGCCAGAGTGGAATTTACTCAGGACCCGGGTTAAATTTTGAGTCACCCAATATAGTGGTCATTTGGGGATGCACTCATTCCCATTCACCTTTTTTTGTATGTTTGCTGACATTTGAAGGATTCCCTTTAAATGCCCTTGTTAGTGACAGGGCCTGATCTTCATTCAGAAATAAAGAACACTCCGCAGTCTCCCCCTGGCCTCAAGTTACAGCTGGGTGTTGCCACAGCAACCACTACCTGTTCCTCAGCACAGCAGGAAGAGAGAAAAATCAGCACTTCCTGCAGACAAGGGCCTTTGGAAGACAGCTGCTATCTATCTGCACTGGCCTTCTGGGTAGAGTGTGGAAGAGTGAAAGGAGAGAAGGAGTGGAATGGAACAAAATGGCAGAAGAGGAGTGACAGAGACAGGCGGATGGCATACCAGATACATTAATGGGGATGATGTGGGCTTGAACACCGCGGCCTAGGTTCCAGCGTGGCCTCTCCGATCCTGGCAGCTCGAATGTCTTGCTCCAGCCTGGGGGGTGCCTGTCTGGGGTGTGGGGCGAGCTGGAGTCTGAGTCCGGCAGGCGGGTTCCTACTGTTGTGGTCTCATCCCCACACACCTGCTTCACGGCTGGCTGCCGGTGAAGAGACACAAACTTTTGTTGGCGTATTTACACAGGATCACAAAGCACAGCGTTTTGAAGAGGGGGGGGGGGGATTAGAGTGTCTGTGCTTAGAGAAGTCTCCCAAAAGAAAGCCAGAAAAGTTTTCTTCCAAAGAAAATGATTTAGCTACGCTTTCTTGTTGCCTGTTAACCTCATTGTTTTCTTCCACCTTATTTGCACAGCCCAGGTGTTAGTAACTGTGTCGCTTCTTCTGGTTTGGTTTTTGGTTTTAAGAAGCAACTGACCAAAGAACAGCAACATGGTGTGAAATCTTCCATTTTTTTCACAAGCTGTGCAGTTTTGTCTCCTTCAGTTTAATCACTTTTAAATTACCACCCGCTTATTTCTTAGATCCCCTAATTATTATACAGTAGCAAGTAATAATGAATTCAGCACTGCCATTTACTGTGAAATATATATGGGTCTGGGATTTTGTCCACAAATCTTGATTTATGTTACATATCTGCTGATGTGCACTGTGGTAACCTACATTTCAGCTGGATGGCTGGGTAATAAAATAAGAAATTAACTCTTTTAACGACCGGAATCATTTCAAGTTCAGACCACCTCTGTATACCTGGCCTGTAGCACACAACAAGCCCTCTTCAGAAATCCAACATGTTCTGAAGCACAAAACCTATAATCATCTCTCAAAAAATCAAATTTGTTGTATCTTGGTCTTAAAAAAATAACAACTCATATGTTGGCTTGTTCTCTGCAATTGCTTGAAATCTGTTTTTTATAGAAGAAGATTTTATGACCAAATGCAAATGCCAGTGTTTCAGTTGATTCTTAAAAAGTTTTTTAATAAAGAATTAGAAATTAGAATCATACCAGCAAGTAATTAAAAATAACATAATAAAAGACATTGAAAAATGTTTAAAAATACTTGGGTCTGAAAGAACCTCAATTTCGACATTCAGCATTAAATCACTGCAGATGGAAGCACAGAAGTAATGAATCTGGCATCACTGCCAGTTTTTGCTGTTTTCTATTCCGGGTTAACACTGTGATCTGGAATGACAACTCAACTTCTCCAAATTATCCAAAGAGAAAGCAAACAAAATACCAAATTCCAGTGGGATTTGTTGTGATACTGAGCTGAGTTCAGCCCTGGCCCCCAACCCAGTTCCTCAATTTAAATGTGCAAATTCTTCTACAAAATGTGAAGTGACAGAGCCGTGACACGGCAACAGAGTGAAGAGCAACCTACCAGGAAGACAAACTCTGTCCGCTTGCTGCTCGCTGCTAGAGGAGATCTGCTTTGGGAAGTGTCCTCGGAGCTCTGGGAAGAAGGATGTCGGAACGTCTGCCCTGTAACTTTGTGGTCGTACAGCTGCTCCTCGAATTCTTTGTGAAGATAACGGAAGACAGGAAACACACTTAGGTGGTTTGAAAATGCATAGCGTGTTCCACCCACACACACACACAGTTCTTGATTTTGGCTCCCTCCAGGCCTTGTAAACAGCCAGATTAACATTTCACGCCTTACACCCCCCACCCCCACCCCGACCCTCCCTCCTGAGGCCCCACCCTTAACTCTGCCACCTCATTGGCTCCTGTCCCTCACACAGACTGGAGAAAAGTGAACTTGCTCTCTAGCAAAATATGGATGCCAAACTCCTGGTGCCTGGTTGCCTAGCAATGCTAGGCAGCAGAAAACAATAGCAAACCTCTCAAGTCAACAAAAGCCCAGCAAACCCCCAGATCACTTCAGGACATGTCTCTGGGACCAGTCTGAGGGGAAAAAAATCCATTCTGACCATGACATTATTCAGTCATGGAGGGGTATGAATTGGGGGAGATTGTGATGCAATTCAAAAATTGACAACTGTTTCTTGTCTGTCAGAGATAGTGAACTCTTCCTAGTGCTGCAAAATCTGCTATAAAATGACAGTCCTCATGCATATGTGTAGTCTTGCATATAATGAAGATGCTGCTGCAAAACTTTAGCTGCAGCTGAGGTGTTTCAATGCTTAGACAAAAGAAAAGAGCCAGATGGTTACAAAACCATCTTTCAGTTCTGTGAATATGTGCATTCAGTTATGAAGAGTATCATTAGTACAATACAACTCACTGAAACTGAATTATTTCTCTTACTGTATCCTCCTAGTATGTTTGACTGCCCTACATGTGTGCACTACATACACTTGAATACACAGTATAATGAATTTGAAAGACTTTCAAAACAAAATCATAGAGTAATTTGATCCCCGATATATTGTATTTTCATAAATGAACCAAAACTCTTTTCACTTACAAGCACTAACTACATATTGTATATTATACTGTATATATTAATATTATTTAATATTATTGTATGTATAACGCTGTTTTGTAAAGGTTTAATAATAGATGTATTTATTTTTCTTTTGTACTTCACTCTGGATCAACACCTGTCCAAGGTCCAAAATACATTTGACTGGACTAGAAATAAGATAGTGAATGACTGGTAATGCAATATTATTTTACTAGCAGAGTTTCTCATAACCTTTGCTATTTTTGGGCCAGACTTGCCCAACCCTTCCGAAAAGGCCCCTGCCTGAGTTTTTGTCCACTTTTCTACGGGTTTGCTTTTTAAAGCTTATCTAAACTGAAAAACATTTACTGTAGCAACGGAAGGATATTTTGAAATGTGTTCTTTTCTGTGTTGCTTTTCACAATCATGTTAGCAACTGAAAAGTGAAGAGTTGGTGCTCAGACTTGTGGGTCATTCCTGTATTTCTCTTGAAGAAAAAAATGTAGTTTTCATGAAATTAACTTAAAACAAACAGGCCAAATCCTTCACCTGGCAGTGCCTTAACATTGTAACAGCTCTCAACATAACAACACCCCCAGAATCTCAAAGAATCTTCCCAGATTATGGATTAAAAAACTTTAGGAGGGATACAAAAATTTAAAGGGCAGATTTTCCAAATGTGTGTTATCAGTGTTAATTTAGCCTAAAGATGTATTTTAAACTGTATCAACTTTGAAACAAAAAAGTTGAAAACCACTTCTGTATAAAATTAACCAACCATGTAAAAGAAACTATCCTTAATATAGATGACAAAAGGGAATGTTCTGATTTTAAATAGATTATAAGAACATACAGTAAGTAAGGTTATAAAGGAGAGGGCATCTGTAACAAGCTATCCAGCCATTTTGCTTAAACCAATACCCAAGCTTCTTTTAAAAAATGGCTTGACAAAATGCTTGGATCAATTAGTTACTAGCAACTAATTGCCTTTCACTGTTCACTGTTGATTTGCAAAGAAGTCCAATATGTTGACTTTGTTGAATACTTTAAGATTGCTTACTTAAGGACCCTTGAAGTCTTCTCTGATCAAAATGTAAAAGGTTCAGCTCTTTTAGTTGGTCAGTGTAGTTGGACATTCCTTTTGAGTCCAAGAATGTATCTTTTTGCTCGTCGCTAAACTGACTGCATATCAGCAATATTTTTCTTGTAATACGATGACTAAAACTTTACGCAATATTCTACATGAGATCTAGTGCATAAATACACAAATTTCATGTCATTTTCATACACATTCTAAGAATTTAACTACATATTGAAACATTCTGGTTGGCATGTTCCTCATTCTATATCTATAGTTTAAAAAAAGCTCCTCTGACTTGATAAAATTTAATCTACAGTGTTTGTCTGCCATTAAGTCATCTGCAAACTTCACTTGTTAACTAACTCCACAGAAACGTGTATAAATTAGGCAGAGCCGTCATCTTAATTAATATCTTCATTTGTAAAACTGGAAAGTTTGCTCAGTTTACTCACCAATAAACCTTTTACCAGATTTGGATAAAATACCAGATAGCATTCTGCAGTGTGTCTAGTAAACCTCAGTATAACAATTTGCTTTTATTTTAAGACTTTGTTTTAATAATGCTGCAATGGTTTGGGCTTGTATTATCTTTGTCCAGTTCCTTATGATTGCTTAAATACATCTTGGCAGCTTTAAACATTAATGGAATTTTATTCAACTCTAAAGCATTTTGTGAGCTCTGTTTCGGAAATGTGACTACTAGGACCTTAAGAAATGAAGTGTGGAAAGAAAAAGAATGCACTTACAATAATAAAAACACAGGCACATTTTTTAAAAGAGCACACGTAAGAAAGCTGAAATGTATGTAGCATATGTATTTAATTATTTCTCCCAGGTTAAACGTTTTAAAACAATATCTTATTAAAAAGAAAGGACAATGAAATAACTTTTAATTTTTTTTTTGCTTTAGCCGACAACAGCACGTCATCTCTCAATCTGCTAATTTGATCTATTGATCCCAAAAGTCCCCAAGGAAAAAAAAAAACTTTAGTACATTCTGAGCTCTCACTCTATCTGAAGTCACTGCAGGTGCAAGAGCCCAGGATGAGGTCTAAGGTTAATGTATTACAGTCAAGAACGTTCAGTTATAGAGCACTGTGCATACACTACCTACAAGCTGCACCCTGGAAGCCTACCTATTCCTTTTAAAACCAACTGAAATGATTCACTCACCAAGCTTGAAAAGCCACAGTGACACACGTGGACCAGTCTTTACCACGGCAAAAAATCTGGAGAGCCCACAGCAGACGTAAAGGTTTTCTTGCCACAGCTTTTTACTGGCTGGCCCTCCTGTTGCCCACAGAGCTCAGCTGAGCACTAATGAGAGAGATCACGGCCCACTGGAACAGGCAACAGGCGTGCTTCTGGTGTGTGGCGCCTCATTGATGCAGAATAATGGCCTGCATTGCTTTTCGGTAATAAGCACTCCACAAACAAGAACTATTCTTCAAAATGGGTCACCCCCCCCCCCCTCTCTCTCACAATACAGTCTCCAGCCATGGGGAAAGTACAGTACCACAGTAGCCTTTACCCCAGCCCAAAAATTTTGTTTGATTACAATCTGCTTTTATGGACTTTGCAACAATGTGCAAAACATAACTTCTAAGTAGATGTACAGTATAAAGTGGGATGAATGTTCGTATACTATATGTACAGTATATAATAAATCCTTTCATATATTTAGATTGATAGTTCCAAATTCTGAAATGCTTTGGTAAAGAAGGATTGAATGTATAGAATGTTTATTTCCCTTATTTCCTACTTGGACCCCTGGCTCATAACTGTTTGCTTGAATGAAGAACAGACAGACATTCATGCTCTGCTAATTCAGAATGAGCCTGTACTGCCAGTATCACATCCAGCCAATGCCTTGTTCTTTTTTCAAAGCTAAAGAAGAAATCAGGGTATGTTTTGTCTAACATAGGCTATTAAAACTCTTAAGAGTATTTTTTTTCCATTTACAGATTTTATGTACCCATACTTCACTTTATATCAGCAAAACTGGCACCTGTCTGGAAAGAGCACCCGTTTTCTCTGGGACTGACTGCAGAGTGTCAGATGGGCTTGTGGTGTGCCTACTGTGCACACTACTCAGTGGTGCTACAACCTGGTTAATCTTTAGTGCGTTGGCTGTGATCTACTATAGTAAACCCACCTGACAGACTCTGTTGTGGGTATGGGCTGAGCTCCTGCAAGGTAGCAATGTTCAGACATCGGTGTACTGCTGCCTTGTGAAGTTGTGGTTCTGCCAGCATGTGTGTGGTTCTGTCTGCATTTCACTATCAGTAAGATAGCGAAAGGTTTTATTATTGCGTGCTTTGGCCAGACACATCCAAACATGCAGAACATTTCCTCTGGGATAATTCATAATACCACTAACGCCAAGAGGGGACTTCTTAAATGGCGACAACACTTATATATAATCCAGATATGCAGTGTTACAGATTTTTAATTTCAGTCCAAGCCAAAAAATTATAAACTGTGTTTGATGTAAACGTGGGATATCTCCTGTTACAGTCTGTGAACAAAGCTGGGACCCCAAAATGAGATGGTGCTCTCTTTTCTGGATTTCACCATTTAATCTTTAAGGCAGAATTCTCCATAACAGTGAATTAAAAGACATAATGTCGCAATCACAACCGCAGTTCTTAGCCACTGTGTATCATAGTTCTGTCTTCATACTGAGAACACACTCAGTTTCAGAAATCACAACAAGCCTATCCCCAGATTTCAATAGTGCTAGTTCAATGCTGCAACAAACTCCATTCTGTGTAATGGAAAAAAGAAAGTGGTGTTGTAGAGATCAGAAAATCCAGCTGGCGAAACTACTGTGCAATGAAGCATGTGTAACATTCAAATACTTCTCACATTATTTTTCCTTGGCAGCCTTGTGGAACCTTTCTGGTGCAATTAGCAACAATGAAAAGCTAATCAGTAACAGCAGTGAAAGATCATAAATAAAATGTACAATACAACACAAAGAAAGAACAAAGATGGAATATAAGCTACAATATGCTGTTATACACTGCTGTTATAAACTACAGTACCTTTCATTAACAAAAGGGGACATTGCATAGCCTCATCATCTAACATTCAGTTGCTCCTGGGGAGTAGATAGACAGTCTCAGGACTAGCTCTTTCCAGCTAGAAAGGCACATAAAGGCAAGCTCGTGTCAAAAATCCCTGCTTTTAAATAAGGAACTTCTAACTTGTTTGTCCTTCCTAGCTGTACTGCTCTGAAGACTGATAGTAACCACACAGTGAGTCACTCACAAACAGGGCTGGGAACTGGACTTGTATTTAGTAAAACAAATGACTTGGGAAGTCTGGAATGGCTTGGTAAGCAGCTAAACATCAGTTCTTGTCTGAATTCTTCCTGGCTTAAGAAGAAAGGCCATATTTAGTTTTTAAAAAAGTAATTTTTTTTTTCAAGTAACTCTTGAAATGCAGGTTATTTTTCACTCGCCTTAACAGCCTCATCTAAACCTGCACAGGTCATGGCAAAAGCTGGGCCATGAAAAATCTGACATAAATAATGATGCAGCTTACAGGTACAGAGACAGATGTGCATGTAAACTGTTGTACTAGGTAAGGCTCTGGAATGAATGAGGTAAACAGTTATCTACAGTGTGTTCCTGCAGCTGTAGGTCTCACACATATCTCTCGCAGTAAATGCCAATATATCGAAGATATACCAGCCCAGCTGGTACTGGAATTCTGTAACAGCCCCGGGCAGAGAACAGTGAAGCGCATTACAACATCTCTCCATTCATGTCTTACCTGGTGAAGAATTAAAACACCTCGACAGGCAGCGAGAGGAAGAGTGTCCCCTCTTTTTTAGCCCAGCAGGACACACGGTGAGGCTCGTTACTGGTTTCAGCATGACTGAATGAATGAATAAGTCTTTTCAAATTATATGAGATGTCAAAAATAAAAGAAGGGCAGGGGGAGGCGGTCAGAGAGAAGGATGAAAGGCAAGCCTTGAGCCTCCTACCCTCCCTCGGGCTCCCGTGAACAACCCAAGCTGCGAAATAAACAAGAGGGACAAACGGACCGAGAAATGAATGAAAAAAAACAAACCCCAGCATCCTCCTACCTTGCAGCAAGCTCTGGAGATTGAGCTGTGCCTCCTGATGCAGCTCCTCCACACACTCCGGCCTACTCGAGGAGCTGAACACATTCACATGCTGTTGCCATGACGATCTGAAGTGGGCCGTTCTCTTGCTCTCCGAGTCCAAGTTAGTGGCAGCTGTAGGGGGAAATGGAATTTCAATATGTATAGATATGTACAGTGATGCGGACGTGGCAAAGTAGAAAACGCGCACAAGGGCAGGGAGAGGGAGAGGAGGGGGCCCAGGGAGCACACATGCACCCCACTGGAGCGGTCCACTTTGTCAGCGCCTGAAAACAGGGTCACACAAGGAAGCAAGAGGCTCTATGCTAGCTCCATCTGTGATCGGGCTGACCCAAACGAGTTAAGGCTGAGTAAGAGAGTCAGGGGACACAAAAGAAGTTAAGTGTCTTTGGAGCTGGGATAGTAAAAGGAAGCCCCTCTTTACACTAAGATTTGTGAGTATTTGAATAAGAAACTATCTACTGATCACCTGGAGACTAATTACCAAGAATTCTTCAAGGAGCAGCTACAGTAGGTGATAGACAAGCTTCTGACAAAAAATAACCATGACACTATTACCTAACACTTTAAGTTCTGTCCTAGGTTTACCATGCCTTTACTCTACAGTTAAGTTTAGTTGGTTTACTTAGTTTTGAATCATAAACTATTTTTCTGCTCAAGTATTTCCACTAATTTCCATGAGAACCTGTGAACAAACCAGACATGTCAGGAGATCTTCGCAATATCTTACCTCCCTAAACTGACTGTAATATTTATATAACTGGATTCCCAAAGTTTAAATATCACAACAAAATGTATAAAATGCCCAAAGGAACTTTTAAAGTATCAACCCGACTTTAATATACATATAACTGATGGGTTTTTTTTTCTACCTAATAAATCGTAGTCCAAATGCATGCTGTTCCAAAGGAAATAATGTTTTAATCTCTGGTTGTTCTTTTTAATGCGTCTTAGGTCTAGAAATCCACACTTCAGGTGTTTGGAAAATGTTTTTGGTATAGGCTGGTTAAGTCTCAGAGTTGGAGAAAAAAATACAGTTCCCACAATCACCTTCTGTCACCTGATGCTACCGTCAAGGTCAAAAGTCACAGGGCACATATAGGAAGGAAACATGGACCTTTGGTGTCCTGTGGCAAGAGCAAAGTCACAGCTGCTGAGTGGGCAGTAAGAGAGAGAGCATAACTGACAGGGAGGCAAGCAAAGCCTGCGTGCGGAGGCCGGGAGCGAGTCTCAGACAGAAACAGAGACAGAGAAAGGTCAGCGGACCGAGAAGACAGAGCAGTTTGATTTATGAACTGCAGTAAAAGTCTTTTGCTTTTTATTGTTAATTTTGAATAGCTAATAGCTTAGCTGTCTGGAAGGGACTTAAGTATTGGAGCTTCAAAGACAGAACTAGACTTTTGTTTTGCTTTTGGCAAATATTTATGTAACTGAAAAGAGAATAATACAAATAATAAACACACATCTGCACCAGGGTCAAAACGCCTACGTTGTCTCAAAGCCCCCCCCTTTCCAAACTACAGGACTGGAGAAATGATCTCAGCGTGTCACAGTACTTCCACATCAAATGTCTTAAATATGCTGCTTTTCTATTTCAGATCACAACTAAGAATCATTTTTTAAGCAGGAGCAGAAGTATCCAAGAAACAGAACTCCATTCCACAATAAATAAAAAAAAGCTACACATCTTTACTATAGTTTACCTATTATAAACTGAAACGTTTTCTTGACAGGGAGTATTTTACACTTAGGCTACCCAATCCCAGGCCCTGGGATTGATTTCAGATTTTGTTCTGATCAGAAACAACACCTTGTGGGATGTTCATGTACTTCATGTACTCCCACAGCCATTGGTCTTTTTCGTATCGGACATCTTGTTAATCAGCTTCACTCTGGCCTTGACAAAACTCATGGAAGGAAGGCCCAGGCAGGCCTTCAATTTTAGCTCCCCTGTTTGATTAACCTGTTGTAAACAAGTTTGAATGTCTGTTAACAGGGACATTCTGCTTTATGGGCTCTGGTCTTTTGGATGAGACAATCAACCTGTATAATGTTTACAAGGGCATTTAAAAGCTCAGGGGTGACATGGAGAAATTCTACATAGATTCATTAAGCCCGAACTTCTTAAGAAGTTACATCTACACAAAAACAAAAACAAATCTCAGCCAGTTCCCACAACAACAAATGGGGGAGGGCTTACAAGAGGAGACTTCAACTTTGATCATGGAGAGGTGGTATGGTAAGAACAAATAAGCAGGTTTGGAAAGGAGAGAACCGGGAGAACAGACTGTCACTGCAGTTTAGGTCTAAGCACAGAGAGAGTATGGGAAAGTTCTGAAGTGAGGGAGGTAGGGGTTTCTCCAGAAAACACTGCTGTGTGGTGTCCTGACGCAGATCTGAGGTCAGTTCCATTCAGTGTATAAATACAGTGCAGTAGGAATAAAAGAGCATAAGAGAGGTTATAAACGTCAGGGGATCGCGTGTCCCATTTTGGCCTTTGGAAGAAGTAGCTGCTTGAGCCAAGAATCTCATCCAGCCTTGTCTTGAAAGATGTCAGGGTATCTGACACAACAAGATGGCTGGGCAGCTTGTTGATCACTAAAATGCTCCTTTAGTCATCACTGCTAATTAATCTCCAGGAGATCAGTATATACTAGTACTTTTTTTCCCAACTACACAAGCATTTTAGAATGAAGAGGGACTTCTTTTTTCTGTCCTACCGACAGTGACACTCATCTTCCTTTTGTGTCTTCTTTGGAGGATTTGTTCCTGAGCCTGAACTAATTGACTCTCTCAATTCCTGATTCAGAATCAGGAAATCATTTTATGTTCCAGGCACAAGAAGTTAAGTTCCTATTACTTTCCAGTGAAAAACTTTTTACCACAACCCATAGGATAAAGAGGTGCCCCCTGTCCGGAAGCACACACAATTCTTGAAATGTGGTCGTTAACCATTTGATTAAAATAATTAATCTTTTATGATGATTTTTTGAATCCCTAAAGAGGACATATAATTTCCTCTATTTGTAACCATTACTACTATTCCTTGTTCAGAAAATTCTAACTTGTAAGCTACCTAAGATCAAACTTTTCTAAATCCATGTTGACTATTCCCTAGAAACCTTGCTTGTAAATGATCCACACTGGGATAAGCTGTCCAGCAGATCCCATGGGAGTCTTCAAGAACAGGTCATTTACTTCCCTGCCTCCTTTTTTACAAAAATTAGTGCAGGCACAGTTTGTTATTACTATTTTATTTATGATCCTCATTATCTCAAGCCATTCATTTACAGTAGTTCAGGTGGGTAGCTGCGTCAGCATGCGTAGGCTGCAAAGGAACAAGTAATAGGTTTATTCCATGCTGAAAAAAAAAGAAGAAAGAAAACACAATGTTTCGGCCGTGGAGCCTTCTTCAGCTGTGAGCACCTCTGTGTTTTCTTTCTTCTTTTTTTCAGCATGGAATAAACCTATTACTTATTCATTCACAGTGGCCACAGGAACAATTGGTATCCATGTTTTTAAGACCTCCTAAGAAAGGACACAGTTTCACGCCTCAATTTACAGGCAACAGACATTTGCTAAACTTACACTATTGCTTAATGACTCTGGTAACACTTTCTACCAAGATTTGCTAATCACACTGTATAATTTCACAACAAGCAAGCTACTAAGCCATAATGATGTCTAAATACAGCATTTAAAATGAAAACAGAATAACATTTATCAATAACCACACAACTAATTATGAGCAAAATAAATGATAAAATACAGTAAGAAAATAATACAGTTCCCAAGTTCGGGACACCCCTAGTGTTGTACCGTTATGCTGACAAAGAGTATAACACATTTTTAAGGACAGCTGACTGCTCATTGAAAGAACCTGTTGAATGAATCACAGCTCCTCTTAATGAGTAATTAGCACTCAGAGGGATAGAAATTCCACTTGAGGGAAAGGAGCAAAAGTGATAAACTCTGGGTGTGATTGGAGTAAACTACAGCAGTCTGAATCTAGACTTTAGTGTGGTAGGAGAGGGTGTATAAGTGATGTACTGTATAGAGTTTGACCAGAGCTGTACTGAGCTGGTTTACAGGCCTGTGAGACTTGGCAAATGTGGGATAATTGAGAAAATACAGCTTAGTCTGTACAGAGGTGCTGGACAGGTGTCTGTTGGATAGTTTTTCAGGCTCCGTGTAGTTCTAGTTCACTGCAGAGGATCACGCTGGACGAGTTGATGTCGGGCTGATACGAGGTGGTGGTGTCTAGGGTTGGATGGTGCTGGTCAATGCCACCTTAATATGAGAAACTGAGATTACACAGATGGGTGGTCTAGGATTGTAACTGGTGAAAGCCTCCCAACTGCCTGCACCTCTGTAGGGGGTGGGGGGTGGTACTTGTTTTTTCAAAGTGTGTTGTCTCTGGCCAAACAGGATCTGCTGGAAGCGTTCTGTGGGTTGCTATTCAAGATTAACTGCTTAAGTCATTGTAGGGCTTAATTTTAAGATGGAGAAGTGGTGTTAAGGTTAAAACACAGTTTAATACAGTGTTTCCTTGAGGAAAAAACGTATTTAGTGACTGTTGCAAATGGGTGACATGGAATAAGTTATCTAAAAAAATCTAAAATCAACAATGTTTTTATGTAGTCACTCATTTTTTAGTTTTTCTCTGTTCAATATTTCATTCTCATAGATTGTCACATGCCTGGCAAGGCAGACTCTAAGCCATAGGGAAATAAACTAATCAATAAGGAAATTCAAAAAATAGATTAATGCAAAGCAGTATTACAAAGAACGTTATCATTCATGAGTGTTATCACCATAGCAAACGTCTAACTGTCAGTTTAGGGACTTGTCCTGTCTCAAGGTATTCCAGAATTAAGGGGCCAGGTGGCAGCTCTCCGTGTGTCTCAGAACATGTAGATCTTAAACTCATGCCAGCTCATTCACTGGCACAGACGTTCCTGCTCTGCATTTCTCTGCCCTCCCCTCCAAAAAAAAAACTTACCCTGAAATCATCAGGGCCTGATCAGTAAGATTCTTGTCCTTGCAGAGGGTGACCAATAACTACAGGGTTTCCTGTTCTTCAATAGCTGTTCATAAAAAGTACCAATTTGCAG